GCCCACCCCGACGTTTTCTTCCCGTCTTTATATGCACCATAGAAGATGTCCTTAGAAACTGAGCCATTCTCTATCCTCCGATGGTGTCATAGCTAGTTATGTCATATGTACAAGGAAAAGGAAAACTGGAGACCAGCATTGAGAGACACTAACCCAAAGATATACCAAATGGCGGAACGACAGACACACGAAGAGAGAAGCAGGTTTGGAGCTTGATGAAGGAGTACAGAAAATGCTATCTTTGTGTCAGCACGCCTATCGACAAAATGGAACACACATTCCAATAACTATATAATCAACACACATTCCAATAACTATCTAATCAACTATCATTCCAATTACTATCTAATCAACAGACCTTCCAATAACGATCTAAACCAGTGGTTTTCAGCATGGTGACGTATGGAAGTTTCCAAAGGGTGTCATGCAATTTTGAAATTGACTATTTTTACTTGTAACAGTATGTTATACAGTTGAGTCTGAACAAGTAGAAGTCGCAGGGATCTAAGAAAATGCTTCCACTTATCAGGATTTCTACTTATCCAGACAGCACACACAATAGAGAAAATTGCCGGGACTAAACTGGTCATGTTGACTTAACCGAAATTCGACTTATCCGAGTTTGACTTACTTGGACTACTCGACTGTACTAATATGTTTTTTTTCCCCTCAGTTTAATTAAAAATAATTTTTAGCCATTTACAAAAACGGGAGTCGCCGTGGCCGAGCGGCTAGACGCTCGCCGCGGATCGGAAGTTCGTGGGTTCGCTCCCTGGCGGAGCCGAACTATTTTCAAAAATGACCTTGGCTCCCAGGTCGACCCAGCCTTGAGTGGGTAGCGGGTACAGTCCCGGGAAATAAAGGCGGCCGGCGTGATGCTGACAACATCACCCATCTTGTGCCGATTGGTCTATAAAAATATAGGTCTAGCCCTATATGCCCTATACGCCTAAAGGCGTGGAAAAGGGTCCTTAACTTAACTTTACTTTTTATTTACAAAAACATACAGCCAATGGCCTTATGTTATTTGACACTTTGATTTATGTAGATGTTTTTCTCCAGGTTCTCGTTAACAGTGTATGTAATTTTTTTTTTTTGAGAGGAAAGGGAAAAGGAGGAGCGGTGGTATCGGCACCCTCTTTGAATTCCTTTGTGTAAGTGTGTGTGTGTGTGGTAAAAATATGGAAAAATGGGGGAGGGGGTCAAGGAGCGGACGTCTTGTCATATATTTGAGGGTGAGTTGGTTGGGGGGAGGGGGTGGAAGGGGGGGGGGCTAGGGTGGTGGCTTCACCTAGAAATGTTGAAAACTCCTGAGCTAATCAGACGATCATATATTATTAAATTACACCCTTTCACGTGAGACGGCGTCTTCCGGTGTTAAAATCTAAAGAGATTATTAGGTCATGACCTTTCATCTCAGTCAAAGTTAGAACTTGAAGCTTTGATACAAAGTCTCGGGATCTTTGAGATTGTCTCTTCAGCTAGCTGACGAAGTCCGCTATGTGGGTCAGCCTGGGTTCAACTTGTACCAACTTGTCTTCCTCGTCTGTCTCTTTAGCTACAAGACAAAGTCCGCTATGTGGGTCAGCCTGGGTTCAACTTGTACCAACTTGTCTTCCTCGTCTGTCTCTTATTCAGGACTTGTATTTTTTCTTCTTCTGAGAGGTACATGAACTTATCACAGGGTGTCTAATGAAAGATGCCGGTATATACAACAAAGTCTCTATCACAGTGGCGACAAAAAAAAATTTATGGCTGAAAAAGATTGGGGGAGGGGGCCGGGGCAGCGGTGGGAGGGGGGCTGCTCTTATTCATATGCGTAGTAAGACTACCTTTATTTGTGCAGGGAGGTAAAGGTGATCGGCGCGATGTTAACTACATCACCCATTCATTGCAGATTGATCTTCTACTGTATAGTGAAAACAAATGTCAGTCAAAACGCGAAATTAAACTAGTCAGCTAATACCACAATAACAAACGATGAAATAAACGTTGCGTGTGTGGTGGAAGGTGTCGGCAAGGGAATAGGGATAAATGAGACAATTCTGAAGCTAGGTTAAGAACAGAGTATTCATCTGAGAAACATCATAATCAATCCATGTAAAGCCCTCAACGCTCCTGAAATCGCAGTCTGTATTTGCAGAAGAATTTTTTTCAACACGAGCGGGTCTTACTTGTCACACTCGTTGTCGTATCCCTGTGGGAAGGTATGGGACAGAGTATAGACGATAGGCCCTATGACGTTCTATGTTTGTTTTTGACGGACTAAAGGTTCGCCAGCGGTTAGCCAAATGAATTCACAATATGGGAAAACACAAAATGGCTTTAACATTGGTACCACATACACGTTTGACCCGAAGCTGAACGGGTAAAGAAGAGGAGCGTTGGACATGGACGTGTGAGGCTGAGGACATAGATAGACGTGATAGTTTGTATTGTGTGAGGAGTTAAAAGATAGGGACTGTTAGCGTTGTCGTAAAATGTGTTAGTTAGATGTTTGCATTTCTCTTTTGCTTTATAGTATTTTACGGACAGTTGTGTTGGTGTTGTGTCATGCGTAGGTAGTTGTTTGTGTCTATGAGTTATTAGAGTTTAGCGGTGCTTGGTGGTAGCGTTAACACTGCCCACTTATACTTGGATTACACTCTGCGTGTGCCACTAAGTCCCGCGTGGCGAGGACTGCAGTCCTAGTTAGCGCTATATGACAGGGAGGTGGAATCGAGTCCTTTGGTACATCCATGTGAACGGCTCGGGGTGGATTAGTGAACATAAATGCTACCACCGGCGGCGTTTCGGATTAGGTACTGTCCATAATTGTGTGTGCTTGCTTTTGGTTGAATTGCTCTTTGTACATCAAAGATTATGTGTGTACTCTGTAGGTGTGTGTATTAGGTGTGTTCTAGGATAGTGTGTCTGTCACGGTGCCGTTCAACGAGCCTTAGTTCAGTAGGATAGATACAAGATCTTTGACACTCGGCATCGCCATGCATTTAAATCTCCATGACTTTCTATGGCACAACCTAACACTATCGTCTTCTAAGAGGGAACGGTCTTCTTCTTCTTATGCCTTTCTATACCACAATGGAGCATAGGCCCTCAACCAACTCACGCCAAGTCGTTCTATCCTTCGCCATTGCATGGAGCTCTCCCCATGTCCTCTAATCTTTCTAACCTCATTCTCCAGCTATCTTCTCCATGTTTGTTTTTGTTTTTTTTTGCCTTCCTTTATTCCTATGTGGGTTCCAATGCAAAGACATTCTAGTTATGCTCTTCTCCTGTTTTCTCAGTGTGTGCCCTATTCAACGCCAGCGTCTTTTCCTGACCTCTTGGTCCACTGGAGCCTGTTTAGTTCTCTCTCAAAGTTCTACATTAGTTATTCTATCATACCATTGTATTCCCTCTATTCTGCGTAGGCACCAGTGAATGAATGTCTCTAATTTATTAGTAATTGCCTTTGTTGTTTTCCATGTTTCCGCCCCATACAATAATACTGATTTGACATTTAAATTAAAAATTTTTAGTTTAGTATTTCTTTTAATTTCTTTTGACCTCCACAAATTCCCTAGTGATATAAAAGCCCCTCTTGCCTTTTGTATTCTTTTTTTAATATCTCTATCAGTTCCTCCATCTTTATCTACATTACTGCCTAAATAGGTGTACGACTCCTCGTCTTGGAGTGGGGCGCCATTAACCCTTTTGCTGCTACGTTCCCGGCGATAGCTGTCTGCCCTGTGCTAAGCAATGTGGAATAAAAAAGTCTCTGCTGTGCGCAATACTTTTCTATCCTCGAAACGCGAAAGATGCGTCGGCGGTGAGGGCTATATTTTGTACACCTAACATTTTTTACCCTGGAGAGTTGTGTGGTTGGCCCGATTCCCTATCAGTGCTGTCAAATGCTTTTTCATAGTCTATAAATCCAATGTAAAGTGGGGAGTTCAGTTCGATGCTTTGCTCTATTATAATACGTAATGTGGCTATCTGGTCAGTACAGGATCTGTTTGACCGAAAGCCTGCCTGCTCATCTCTTAGCATTTTATCAATAGCATCTTTTAATCTTTCCAAAATAATCCTACTTAATATTTTTCCAGGAACTGACAGCAACATAATTCCTCTTTAGTTTTCACACTCCTGCAGATCACCTTTTTTGGGCAGTTTCACAAGATTTCATTCTCTCCAGTATGCTGGTATTTCTTCGGTCTCCCAGACTTTACTAAATAATCCATGTAGCAATTCTGTTGATGTGTTTATGTTGGCCCTGATGGCTTCAGCTGGGATACCATCTAGGCCTGTCGCCTTTCCTTCATTGAGATGATTGATAGCTTTTCTAATTTCCTTTTTGGATGTTAGCCAGTTCCATTTCTAAAGGCTGGATATCTGGGGAAACCTCTGGGCCTGGTCTATTTAGAAGCATTTTAAAATATTCAACCCATCTGTCCATTTGATCTTTAGTGTTAGTAAGTACCTTTCCTTGACTAGTTTTGATTGATCCAGCTGGCTGACTATATTTACCTACTAATTTTCTTGTGTTATTTTAAAGTTCTCTGAGGTTTCCTTTTGCTGCTGCTGTCTCCGCTTCTTGTGCTAGATCATTTAGATATTTCACTTTTCTGCCCTTATATGTCTCCTAACTTCCTTGTTGGCTTCTGTGTATTTCTCCTGAGCTCTAGCTTTAGCAGCTCTAGTTTTGCTATTGTTTATTTCTGCCTTTTTACTTTTCCTATCTTCAATCAGTTTTATGGTTTCTGGTGTTATCCATGCTTTATGTTTCCTTTCTTTCTTGCTAAAATCTTCTACGCAAGATTCATTCCAGATTCCTTTGATCTGATCCCAGCAGACTTCTGTGCTGACATCTGCAGCTAACTGCTGCAACACCTGGTACTTATTAGAGACCGTAACTAAGAACTGTTCCTCAACTTCTTTATCCCTGAGAAAGCCTACACTATATTGGTTTCTATGATTATAAGATGTTAAATATCTTTTTAGTTTCAACTTGATTTTACTTACCACCAGGAAATGGTCAGTAGATACATCGGCACCTCTGAAAGCCCTAACTTCGTAAAGGAATGATCTAAACTTTTTGTTAATACATAGGTGGTCAATTTGATTAGTTGTCTCATGGTCTGGTGATTCCCATGTTGCCTTGTGTATTCGTTTATGAGGGAAAATACTTCCACCATGACATCCTGGTTACCTGCACAAAAATGTGTGAACAATTCTCCATTTTCATTCATTACTCCTAGACCATGTCTTCCCATAATTTCTTCATAACCTGTGTTGTCTGATCCTATCTTAGCATTCAAGTCACCCATCAACATTTTTAAGTTGCCCCTTGTTTCATTATTTATAATATTTTGAAGCTGCATGTAAAATTCTTCCTTAACAGATGCATCTTTATCATTTGTTGGTGCATAACACTGTATTACCGACATGTTCACCTTCTGTTTCACTGTTCTAAAAGATGCTCTTATTATTCTGGGACTCACAGCTTCCCGTTCTGTTAGTGCCCTTTCTGTTTCTTTTGGTAGCATCAGGGCCACTCCTTCACTGTGGGGCGAATTTTCCTCTGATAACAAAATAGTTTCCCCTGAATTTAGAATACTTTTTCCTACCCCAGTCCATCTAGTTTCACATAACCATAAAATACTAATTCTATAATGTTTCATTGCCTTTGCTACTTCCATTCTTCTCCCTATATCAAAGAGATTTCTAACATTCCAGGTGCCAATTCTGGGGGTTTTCCTAGCTGAGAGGAGGCACGTTAACGATCCGGACTCCTTACGGCTTCCTCCACACCGTGTCATACTTCTTCTTTTTGAAGAGCCTCTCCTAATCTTGTTTGGCTTGATTTTACTTGCTTCTCTTTTTGACTTTTCCATGGTTGGTTGGTTTTTGTGGCTATGGTTTTGACAGGATGAGGTAGCCAACCTCAAGCCCAAACCTACCCTTAGTCGCCTTTTACGACATGCCTGTTAGGGTGCCATGTCAGTATTCTTTGCTTCCCGTGAGGGCCCCGGTTACACACGGGCGAGAGGGAACGGTGCCAACGCGAAATCTGTATAGCTTTACAAGATTATGTGCGAATCGTCGTGGTGTAGCGGCTAGACGCTCACCTGTGGATCGGAAGGTCGTTGGTTCGGGTCCTGACGGAACCACTTTTTAAAAATGACCTTGGCTCCCATGGCGACCCAGCCTTGAGTGGTTACCAGGAAAGTCCTGGAATGTAAAGGTGGCCGGCGTGATGCTGACTACATCACCCATCAAGTGCCGACTGATTTATAAAATATAGGTCTGGCCGTAAATGCCTAGTACTCCTATAAACGGGGGGAAAAAAGCCTTTTACAAGATTCTGTAAGGCATTATATTTTGTGACTTTGTCTCAAACAACGTGACCTGGACACTATACCCCCGCTAGTGAAGTAAGAAAAAAAAAATAGTTTATCCTTCTGATGAGACAGCCAAGCCAAGGAGCAATGCAGAAATGTCTGGCTTGATTTACACGACAGCGGAAGTCCTGTCACAAGAAGTGCAAGGAAGAGTCGTTAAGTCATAATGGATGACGGAACCGGAAATATGTAATTCGCCTTAATGTGTATTCGCACTTGACAAATGGCGTCTATGAACTGTTTCCACATAAGATTAACTACAATAGCGGTGTGTAGTACACTTTCTTTCAGAAGGTGGTGAAACTCACATGCCGCTCACATGAATGTTAGCATGGGACTTGTGTGAACGACATGTGCAGCTATCAAACTGGCTACTGTTTACCATGCTAATTATTTTATATTAGTAAAGAAACTATATTGCAAAATTTATTGCCTGATTATGTTTGCTATATTTTGCCACGTGCATTTCTACGGTGTTTAGTGTCAGGTCTTTGTCATATATGACTGAGCTACCGTATAACAGTAGTCGGTACCATCTGTCTTCTGTTAACGCCGAATGTTGGGCGGCGTCTAACAAACCTGACATTCCATATTGTGCCAGCAGCCTCAGATGAAGGAGCGCACTAGGGAGGATACCAGCCTTTTTTTTAGGAAGAAGAAATGCAGCTTGCAGCTTTGTTATGGCAGGGCAGATCATGCCCTACGCCATGGCTGGCAGCTGGTCTAGGAGAGAAGCTCGCCAAGCGGATAAATTGGGCACTACTGTGCTTGTCTGGCATCTTCTACAGCCTGCTTTGTTCCAAACTGCATGGGTTACCCTTCATTTGGAGTAAACAAGGCATGTTGAGAGAGGGATTATGATGCAGGGGCTACATATGGTCTTTACAATACTGCCCACGTTTTGTGCTATGGAGAGGATGAACTTCATACCTGGCCGTGATTGGTCTCAGAATCAAATCGAGAGGCAGCAGTTACGCGTTAGAAGACCTTGTAAATTCGCATAGACGAGGGCGCAACGAGTTGCCTCTGATGGTAGGAGATATCTTTGAATGTCACTGATCACCTATCCCCCGCCTCAGGCTGAGCTGATCCCAACCAATAAGGTATTGATCCGCCACCGCCTGTATGCTTCAGTGGTTGCTTGGAGCTAGGACAAAATTCAAATCGCCGGCTGTTCAAAAAGAAATGCATCAAGCAATAAAAAGAAACAAAATTTTAAGTTTCGACTTGACTCTTGGAATGTGAGGACCATGTGTTCTTTGTTTCAACTGACGTGAGAAACATTAGTGATGTAAGAAACACGGCTGTCATTGATGCCGAACTCGAAACAATTGACATAGATACTGCAGGACAACAGGAAACACTTATGTCAGAAGGTGGGTTCATTAGAGAAAATAATTATACATTTTTTCTGGATAGGCAAAGGCCAGAAAGAAATCATAAATTATGCAGCGGGATTTGCAGTTAACAGTTCACTGTTGGGATCAATTGAGAGTCCAACTGGAGGAAGTGACAGAATATTACCCCTATGATTGTCTACCTCAAGCGGTTTTATCACTCTTGTTACTGCGTATGTACCAACTCTAACGTCAACGGAGGACGCAAAGGATTGTTTCTCTAATGAACTGGATAGTGCAGTGAAAGCAATTCCTAAATCTGACGGCATCTACATACTTGTTGATATTAATGCTCACGTGGGGTCGGGCTCAAACTCATGGTCAGTTTGCTTTGTAGATATAATGTTGGAAAAATGAATGCAAATGGGCAAAAACAATTGGAATTCTGCACTCAAAGTGACCTGGACATCACAGACTCCTTTTTCAAAACTAAAGACCGCCATAAAGTGTGATGAAAACATCCAAGATCTGGCCATTGGCACCAGTTTGACCGTATTCACACAAGGAGACAGCATTTAAACTGTGTATCACTAACTCGCTGCTACCACAGTGCTGACTGTGATAAGGACATTCCATAGTTGTTACAAGAGTTCGGATGAAACCAAAAAGAATTTTCAGTTTTAAAAAAAAAATATATCCCTGGGTTACATATTTTCCCACAATTAAAGATCTTAAAAATTGTTTTGAGTTCTAACAACAGCTCGAAGAAGCTTTCACTGATATCCAGCAAGCATAAAGTAGGGTTGCAATAGTCAGACGGTGAACAAAACAGTTGCATCAATCTATGGGATTAGAGAGGAAAGAAGTAAGGACTGGTCTGAGGCAGACACTGAAACCCGTAATTCACAGCAAAAAAGTTAATATTTCTTGGAAACAAGGAAAGAATAACAGGGAACATTGTCAATGAATTGAGAGCAAAGAAGTAAGGACTGGTCTGAGGCAGACACTGAAACCCGTAATTCACAGCAAAAAAAAGTTAATATTCCTTAGAAACAAGGAAAGAACAACAGGGAACATTGTCAATGAATTGAGAGCAACTAGAAATCTTTTGCAAAGGTAGGCTAGGCAGTGTGCCGCAACCACTACTGGATCCAATTGTGTTAAAGCATTCAAAATGCTAGCAATAGTTGTAATAACAGAGGCGTTTATAAGGGAATACAGACAGATATAGGCCTAACTATTTTAAAAATGTGCGCCACTAAAGTTTTGAATGGGGAGATTAATATCAATGACAAAAAGAAGCAGCTAGATAGATGGGTGAAACATTATCTGGAACTGTATTCAGTTGATATAAAAATAGCAGATGGCGCTCCTAATGCAATGAAGACGCTATCGACTCTTGACTATCTGGATATAGAAGTTAGGAATGCTACTGATGAACTGGTTTCGGTTAAGGCCCACGCAGAGATGGAATTCCTTCTGAAATCATCAAGAGTGGGAAAGACATTCTGACACCACACGTTATTCAGCTAATTACACTCTTCTGGCGTAAGTGACAGGTTCTGCAAGATTGCATAGTCTCAAGCATCCTAACTATATACAAAACAAGGGTGATCGGAGCGACTGCAGTAGCAACAGAGAAATTTCACTGTTGTTTACTGTGGATAAGTACTTGCGAGAAATGTTCTGCGAAGATTTTAGATCCTAGGAGACCGGGTTTACCCAGAGTCCCGGTGTGGCTTTCGTGGGAACCGATCTAACACTGATATGCTATTTTCATTACCACAGTTGCAAGAAAAATGACATGAACTAAATCAACCACTGTATGTTGCTTTCATTGATTTTACAAAGGCATTTGACTTGGTAAGTCGAAAGGTTTGTTCAATCCACTGAAGAAGATTGGGTGTCCACTTACCCTACTAAGCATTATTGAGTCGTTTCACGCAGGTATGAAAAGTCCAATCAACTTTGATGATGTAACGTCGGAGGAGATTGTAATCAACAATAGGACTAGGCAGGTGTGTGTGGTAGCCCCTACACTCTTTGAAAAATACATCTCCCTTCTTTATAACATGCATTTCGAGATCAGGAGGGTGGTATATTCATCCATTCTCAATCTGACGGCAGCCTTTACAATACAAGGGTGAAGACCAAAACCAGAGGAAGAAAGGTATTTATCAGAGAGCTGCTGTTTGCAGATAATGCCGCAATAACCACCCAGTCAGAAGAGGAGCTGCACTGTTTAGGAAAAAGCAACAAGAAGACAACGGTTTTGGCGCAAGTTGTTTTTGATAGACCTACAGTATATATTGACGGCGAAGAGCTGATGACAGTTGACAGTTTTACCTATCTGCGATCCACAGTGAATAACAAACTATCACTGGACTAAGAAATCAACTTTATGATAGATAAGGCAGTAATAACAATGAACAGATTACCACACAAAAAATTTTAACAATAGAAAGCTCACGATTAAAACAAAACCTCTTGTCTATCATCAGGCCTGTGTTCTCAAAACTCTACTTCATTGCAGTGAAACTTGGTCAACTTATTCTCACTAGGAAAAACGGCTAAATAGCTTTCCCATGCGATGCCTGAGAAGAATACTTGGCATCAAGTGACAGGACAAGATCGCAAACACTGAGGTATTGGAAATAGCAGGCATTACAACAGTCTTATCAAAGCTTATTCTACGAACACTCAGGTGGCTTGGTCACACCAGGATAATGGAGGATAGCAGTTTCCCTAAGAACATCATCTGTGGTGAATTAGAGACTGGTAGAAGATGTCGAAGAATACAAAAGGCAA